TACACAACAACACCAGTCTGTCTCTCCCTCTCACATGTCCCACACACCACAGAAGTATGTAGAGTTTTTTTTAACATCCAGATTCATTTCCCGTTGACATTTTTTTTAAAATCTCCATCCGTTTTCCCGCTATTTCTCGCTCGCTCGAGGAAGGAACCTTTTTTAGGCGCTTTCCTCTGCTCCCCATCCACCAAAACAAATAAATACGTCTCATCGTTTTACTGCGCCTCTCACAGAGCTTTAGGCCAGTCTCTCTCTCTTTCGGGCAGGCAGTAGTCTGCTCTCTGACAAGTCGGACTTTCACATATATGTTTCAAAATACATGCGTTCGTCTCTCTGGGATCTCGCATGTACGCGCCGAACATGCATTTACCGTATATGACACAAGATAACACACCCCCTGGACCGATTTTCAAAGCTCGATTACTCCACGACGAAGAGGATGCATAAATGAAACAATACGTTTTCGAACAGCTCTCGACGAGACGGTTCCAACGCCGCCGTTTTCGGCGCTGTGACTCTTCCTGCTGTTGAGAAATCGAGCTTTGAAAATCGGCCAAGGGGGTGTGTTATCTTGTGTCATATACGGTATATATCCACAAGAATTTCATCTCTCTCTGGGATCTTTTCAGGGCTGGCTTCGTTTATCTCCATTTCTCGAATGCATGCATGCAAACCACCCTTAATCACCCGATTTGGTTTTGGGTCGTCCTGTTTTAAGTCCTAAAAGATTCGACGGGTTCCATAACTTTTCAGCCAATCAACAAGAAGAGAGTTCTTTGGATCTTCCGGTCTTCTTGGGTTCCATAACTTTTCAGCTAATCAACAAGAGAGTTATTAGGATCTTCCGGTCTTATAACCAAATCTGAATGTGATTTCGTGATCTGATTTCTTCGTTAAGACCTACCCTAAGCATACATACGTATTCATGGGAACGTACTTCACACGGGAATTTCACAGCCACGGCATGCCACAAACGAAGGCCCCATTCAACAAACAAACGCCGACTAACATCGTGCATCAAACACCAGGTAACATTCGTCTTGCGGTACGCTTCTCTCAGCGTGGCGGCGTAAGCCGCCAACAAGCCTTGTAATATTTAGTATGCATACATGTATGAACACACACACACACACACCCCTCACGGGGTCCCAGTTCATGGCAGATACTTGGAGAAGTGTTTTGTTTTTTTATTTTCTTACTAGACACAATAAAAATCTATCTCTATCTACAGAAAAAGTCTAAGATAGATTAGCAATGAATCCATAGCGTCAGCAAGTGTTTTGTGTTTTCAACCGCACTTCAAATAAGACTGACGTCTTTTCATTGGTCAGCCGGTTAGCGCAGTCGATGCTAATAATAAAAACACACATAATGCCCCCTCACGGGGTCCCAGTTCATTGCAAATAGAGGTGTTTTGTGTTTGTTTACAGCCGCACCAAGACTGACGTCTTTTCATTGGTCAGCGGTTGGGCGGTCGATGCAAATAATAAAAAAAAACACACACATACAGGAAAGGCCTGTGAGAGGCATTCAAAAACCGGTACAATTTTATACAAGTACAGGAGCAAACGGAAAAATAACCGCCCAATTTTGGATTAACGAAAGCGCACCCGCCCCACCAGCCGTCATCATCCCCTTTGAGCTGTGATCGCGCCCGCCTTGTGCCACGAACGTTTTTGAGAGTATTATGGCGCATAATATATATGCTATACTAGCCCACCACACGAGGCACGACGAGGGCCATGCTGGTCGGATAATGTTGGTGTATGTAACGGAATCTACTTTGTACCGCCGTTTAAAAATGAAGCTAGCTGAGAGCACCACAAGCACCCGTCACATGCTACTGCTGCAGCCAGCAGCCGTGTGGTTTGGGCTGCAACAGCATATGCCTCGTGCCCTCTCGCTGTGGTATTGCGCCGGCATTCCAACGGAATCAATCTTCGTTGCAGCAAGAGGCAAAGACGATGATGCCGAGAGGGACAACCGAGTGCTACAAATGCATAACTCAAGATGAAACACGCACGCCCCCTGCCGGAGTCGACGAGCTTCTTCTTACGATTACAGAACATATCCAAGAATCTCCCAGCTGCTGCCGCTGCTGCTGCTGCTGCCGCTGCTGCTGCTGCCACCGCTTCGGAATCGTGATCAGGCCCCTTGCTGTGCGTCCCCACTACACTACGCTACTTGTGGTAAAGCTCACCTGCAGCACCGCTCCACCCCACGCAAAGAGCTCATGCGCAACACGTCGCGCCACTCTCTCTCCCAATCTCTCAAAAGCCTGCTTTTTGCGCACCACACAAAAACAGCCGCCCAACCAAGAGGCCAAGAGAACGGCGAAACAGCAGCCAGCAGCGATGTGTGTTTACGACGAAACAACAGCAGCAGTGGAAGTACCGAGCAGAGTTGCCTGCTGCTGCTCATCAACCGTCTAGTCGGCAAACAGAAACAGCGGTGTGTGCCCAGGCTGCATACGTACAGGGAAGGAACGGCCGTGGCAGAAGTTCAACCTGTCGCGCAACAGGGGGCATCGGGTATCTTATTTTTGGGCGAGCCTGCGAACGTTCGGCGAGTGGAGATAGATGTGTTTGATGGAGGTTTAGAATAAACCGACACACACATGATGTGAGAGAGCAAGAAATCAGCAGGCAGCAGGCGTCTGTGTATGTCTGGCGATCACTCTAATCTGTCTGCCCACTGCATACGTCTTAGCTCACCGGATGTTGTCAAACGCACCTGTAGAGCTCGGCGGGAAATGGCCTGCCCTCTTTGTCATCCTGCTGTGCCTACGACAGCAGCAGTGTGTTTATGGAGAGTTCATCTGTGCCCCGTAAAAATCCGGATCTTTATCGGAGATGCCTTGTGCATGACCCCAGCCTACCGCGAAATTGCTGTAGGTCTGATGGATCTGCCCGACGCACACACACACACACACACACACGCGCAACCACCGACCCCGCCTCCCTCCGCCGCACCGTTGATCGTTGTTATTCGCGCTCTGCGGCTGTGGCTGTGTCACCATATTGCTTTGCTTGGTCGGTTTCTTCTTGGTATCAGAATAAGTATTTACCTTGCAGGTTGTCCAGGACACACACAGCAGAAGATTCGATTTGCCGTTTGAACAGCAGCAGCAGCAACAACATGATGGATGATGACTGGTCTGGTGCATGCTGGTGCCTGTATACATGGTATTCCGGAGTAATATGACTGTATGCCTAGTACTGCTGTACATACAAGACGGGGAACAAGTTATGCTCGGGAGGGCTGATTTGAATCTACTGCTGTACTAAACTTCGCGGGGTGGATCCTACCTCCAACCTGCTCCGTACCCCAGGATTACGGTAATGAACCCGTGCTGACGGTGGCGACGAAAGAAATGGTAAGAAATTGAGTCGGGACGGCCGCGACATAAACGTTCCTTAATTTCCGCGGTGTGTGATATAACAACGGTTCAGATATGCATACCTGGTAGTATAAAACATCTGATGCCGTTTTTGGTACGGGGATGCATACTTGTTGTTCCTTGCGCCCAACCTGTCTGTCGTTTTATGGGAAGCAGTGAACATTTATTTGGGTCGTCGGTCTGCCTCGGGAACTATTCCGAACCAATCATCGATCAGCGGTAAGCGCTACAACTTCCGAAGAAATAATGCTCACTCACCTTACGCAGATACTTTGCAGTCAGTGCACGCTGGCATCTACGTCGTACTATATATGTGAGCCGTGCGAAGGATTAGGATTCCACGCCGTCCTGCAAACTGCCATCAAGAAACTATCGGCAGGATTGCGGCCAAGATTTTTTTTGTGATCCGAGAGCTGGTTTTAAGGTTTTAACACATACATCAGCAACATGGAACTACAAATACCTGTCAGAAGGCGGGCTGCTGTTTTTGAGAACAACAAGAGCGTGCCCACTTAAAAAAAACAACCCGAACAACCAACACTCCCGAAGACGAAACAACTCTTTGTGCTCCCATCTCGCGTCCAAGCGTCGCTCCTCAAACCCACCGACCAACGGGCACGCACCTCCACCCCTCCCTATCGCAACAGCAAGTCATATACCCACCAGCGCCACAGCGAGTCGTGTTGTGCCTACTAGTTGTCAAGAGATTTTTTTTTTTTTTAACATATAGTCACGCTCGAAACAAAACCATCAACCACCACCTAGTTACACTCCCGGGGGAAAAGGAAAAGGAACAGAACGGGCAGTCTTTCTGCAGCAGTTTTTGCAGTCTGTTAGTGACTCTTCCTATCTAACGGCTTTTACGCCCTCTGATTGGTCCGGCGTTGGTTCCTAGCCTTGACCCTCTCCAGCGCCCTCTCGCCGTTCCGCATTCCGAGAACGCGGCTGCGCCGCGTTCTCGACCAGTTCGCGGCCGCTAGGCCGTGCTTTGGCCGTGGGTGAGGGTTAGGGTTAGGGTTAGGGTAGATGTGGGGTGAGGAACCTAGCCTTGCTCGCGTGAGGAACCTAGCCTTGCAAAGTGCAACATCGGTTAGTCCTAAAGAGTCACCAACAGAGTGTAAATAGACCTCTCTTTCTGTGAAATTATGAGATTATGCTTACTTTCTGAAAAGGAAAACCACGGCATCCCTGAAGGGGGGGGGGGGGGGGTATGGGACAATACGACAATACACTCAATAAACCAATCAGCACTAATAATAATAATAAGCTACGCCATTCGGTTGTTGAGGCCGCCAGGTAGAGACGTAAGCAAAACAGATACCACGTTCGTTCGTTCAGCCGCGAACGCCCCATACCTACAAGCCCACCCCCCGATTGATTGTGCTGAGAGTGGGTAACCGCCCGAATGAATCTGATCCAACATGCACATCGACGCAACAAAAACAAACTTTTTCTGTGACATGTGATATACCGAAAATACACATGCACACCCGCGCCGGGCAGCGGTGGAGATCATAGTGCTCTCTCCACGCTCCACACTACCATCACAACAGACAGACAGGGGGGTGGGGGTGGGGGGCGCAGCCGTCCCCTCCTTACACCCCCTACATTAGCAAACAAGTTCGTGAGGCAACCCACCCTTTTGCTTCTCTCTTGTTTATTTTGGCCAAGGCTAGGAAGAAACACCACGAACAACAACAAATAAATGCGCGCACGATGGCACCTACTGCTACTACTATGCATTTGTAATTCCACACGACGACATGTCGACGGCATGCACACATCCAAAAAAAAGGGGGCACCAGAAAGCTTGCCTTCACTGCCGCCGAAGTCACCGCTGCGACGTGGTGTCACGCTTGAGGGCGCACCTGGGCTATCGCACTACTAACTACAGGAACAGGATCTTGTTCTTCTGCAGCTGCTGATTGGCTGATCCAACAAACTACGAAAATATGGATAACTTGCACTTGTGAACGCCCACCAACATTATCGTGGGCGCACCAAGCAAACCTATTGCTGTGTTATCGAAACGCGTCGTCCCATCCGACCTATCGCTGTGTTATTGCCGCTCAATCGTGCTCTTCGCCAAAACGCTTTCACGTCGGAAAAAAGGAGCGAAAAAAAAAAGTCCCAAGAGCAAAACTCATCCCGAACGCCAGACATGCACGCGAAAACTTCTAAAAAATGCACGTGTACCAGATGTTAGCGCCACACCGCGCCAACTTTTGACAAACAAGTTGCTGCTTCTGTTCGATGCTTCGATGCTCGAAACATCCAAGAACGGCACTCAAAAAGAAAACATCGCGCGCTTCACCTGTAACACACGCCGACCAAACCAAGCAACCCGCCAAGACAGGGAAAGAAAAAGTGAAACAGCAGTGTGCTACATACAACACACAACGGCCAGCAAACCATCCACAGCGCAACACAGAGGAAGAAGGCCGCCGCGCGCTAGGGAAGAGACTGAAGAGACTGAGGCAAACGATGAGGAGGCGGGAAAGGGAAACATCGGCAGAGCATTGGTGTGCCAAGGATGGGGGGAAAGGGGGGTCATAGGCAGAGCATGGGTGCACTCCGCACTCCACACT